GGATTAACTTCAAACTTCACAACAAGGTTAATTACCATGAAACCTCGGACAAGTTTGATAACCGCCATTATCCGACCGTAATTATTGGAGTTATTCCCCTTGGTTTCATTAATGCGATGCATGCGTTCCATGATGTTGTATTGCACTCATTGATCTACCAGTTATGTTGAATGATTTCTCTTTTAATATCAATTACTCACAAATACTTCATATATTTCAATCATACAAACAACTGCTCATTCAATGTGTGGCGGGCGTATTATATACCGCTCGCGGTAACCTTGTTTTTATATTTCTTTTTCAAATCCTGACATGTGAAAATAAAGTATGTTCTTGTAGAAGAAAAAGATCATGTGCTGTTAATTTTTTGAAGCTTTGAGCAATTAATAATTTAATACAGATATATTTATTTGTATTAAAATGACACACTTTGAAAAGCAGTTAAGTATCCCTTTAAATGGTAATGTTATTTTAGCACTTTAGATCACCTTACTGTGTCACTCAGACATTCTGATTGCCTTTCGTTTGTCATGTGTTAGCAATCATACTCTGTACAGAATCTGTACTCAAGAAGCGGCTGACCCCCTCCAGGGTACTGAGAGGGAGAAACATTCAAATGACTTTTTCTTTTAAAATAATTAATACGTTTTCACCATCATTCAACGAAAAAATTCTTAGATTATGAGGATCAGATTCTTTCTGACTCTCTCCCAGCTACTGAGGGATGGGGCTGACCCTCCCCCGGCTACTGAGGGATGGGGCTGACTCTCCCCCAGCTACTGAGGGATGGGGCTGACCCTCCCCCGGCTACTGAGGGATGGGGCTGACCCTCCCCCGGCTTCTTAGGGTTCGGGCTGACTCTCCCCCAGATCCCGAGGGATGCGGCTGACCCTCCCCCGGCAACTGAGGTAGGGGGCTGACCCTCCCCCGCCTACTGAGGGTTGGGGCTGACCCTCCCCCGCCTACTGAGGGATGGGGCGGACCCTCCCCACGCTACTGAGGGATGGGGCTGACCCTCCCCCGGCTACTGAGGGATGGGGCATTAAGAGGTCACAAAAGTACAAGACCTTTTAAATTGCATCCTCTAAAACATTGGGTGGATTTTGACCAACATTTCATACAATAATCTGTAGATGATGAGTAGCAGAATTGATTAAAGAAGAGACTGAATCCCCCAGTTAGCTACTTGTAACTTAATGTATACTCTTAAAGGATATTTTTGTAAGTTACTGATGGATTTAGACCAATCTTTCCTGTTTAAGACAGTTGCTAGTGGATTTAAATCAACATTTGTGAAGTCCTTATTTGCTCACTATACCCCACATTCGGGGACACTTGATTGCTCACTATACCCCACATTGGGGGACACTTGATTGCCCCACTGGATTTTCTTTACTTGGCATTACGGTAGATCTACGTAAAACTATGTGTATAAATAATTTTATAATTTCACTCAGGTGACTGTTAAGGCCCATGGACCTCTTGTTTCTGTTGAACTTAGTACATGACATTTGTCCTACAGTGATATTAAGGCACAATAGTTAGTGTACTAGACCTAAAGTATGGGTCATAAGTTTGACCTACACCACTGTTTGCAGGGTGTTCTTGAAGTACTGTTTTGATAAGGTTTTAAATCACTCAAAATTCCTTCAAAAATGAAACAAAGGGATTACTTCTGGTATATTTGTTTCTTTATCTGTAGATTGTAGGTTTAAATAGCATCAAAGTTATACAGAGAAATTATTATGGTACTTTTTGTAACAAATTTCCACCTGTAGACATTTATCATCCATTTATCATGTGAATGGGTTTTCCCTGAACTCTCTGGGGTGAAAGGACACTTTTAACAACATACTAGTAGTCTTGTAGTTGTATGCATGAAAATTAACACTTTTAGATATTTTAACAAGTTATTTATTTATTCAATTAAAAATGATCAAATTATGTTCTTCATATGAATGAAGAGTTTAAGGGCTTCGAGGTGGAACTTTTAAGTTGATGTGGTACAAATTACTCACATATATTGTTACATACCTATTGTCACTGATTATAATTAAATGGTACAGCTTGTCATTGAAAGTTAAAATAATATAAAATAAATAATAAACAACATTTGATATAGTGCCCTATCTAGCTAACATTAGCCACTCTAAAGTGCTTTAGAGTACATAGATATACAATTAATACAATTAGGATATACAATTTTTGAGGAATTCGCAGGAGCTGCCTTATCAGGCGCTAACTGCTAGTCCTATGCCACCTGGCTAATATCTCCGTATGTGTGTATGCCTGCGTGTGTGCTGGAGATGTATTGTGTTCTGTTTGTAGTGGGACCGCGCTTACAACGGCATCTTTTATAGTGCCACCTCACTTGAATGCTACATCACAGATACCACAACATCCACCCCAGACCATTTTATACTCCACCTGGGTTGTTGGAGTTGTGTGGGCAGGAGAAAAACACTTTCTCTGATATTCCATGCGTGCGACAACCTCGGGGATCAAACCCCGGCCGCCTGCGTGGAAGGCCGAAGTGTTAACCACTCGACCAATTCACCCCTGAAATTTCATAATGAACTTTTCCAACCTTTGAATTGGAGGAGTTCAAATGTGTTTAGGGGTGATTGAATTAAACAAGCTTCAAGAAGATTAGTGAAATTCTGTTATCCAGAGTGTACTTTGGGACACAGTTATGGAACAGTCGTTTATGATGGTTGTAAAATTATAATTGTCAATACTCAAATTATTCTACTGTGTTTGTATAGACACTGTAGTAATGAAGTCTGTACACAGCAAGTAAGGTATGTCTACTGTGTTTGTATAGACACTGTAGTAATGAAGTCTGTATACAGCAAGTAAGGTATGTCTACTGTGTTTGTATAGACACTCTAGTAATGAAGTCTACACACAGCAAGTAAGGTATTTCTTGACTTGTAATCAATCAACGTTTAATCAGTTACCACAAGTACTGATAGATATTTCCATCATAACCTCATCTTCGGGTAATCATTAGCTTGAGCAAAATGATACTTAGATAATTAATGTGATAATGAAAGTAATGCTTTGCCATATTGCAGCCTGGATTTGAGGACCCCAATGCTCTGAAGACCCCTGTTGTACGGTACTGTGCAGTGTCTAGTATAGAAAATAGTCACCGAGCGGCCATCACAGACATACAATGGGTCCCTGACCACATGGAGGTAAGCATGACAAAATGCAGTCACAGAATGGCCATCATCATTTTCCAGAAAATGAATTCTGAGCCATTCCGAACAAAATACTAGACATTTCTAACTAGTTTAACCACAGCATGGTTTACCATTTTCTGAAGTTAACATTCAATGTAGAGTAACATTAAAGTTCAGATAACAAATGTATATTTGATTGCCTGTAACTTCATGTCTACCAATGATAATTCAAGATACTAATCTCTCATTACATTTATACTGAGAACATTATTTGCTTTTGACAGCTGAACAGAATGGGAGTGCCCCAGGAGAACAGAAGTTTACAGTGCTGTCAAATTATGACTTGTGCCACAGATTAGTAAGTATACATGAATACAGACTAGTGAGTACTATCCTCTGTATACAGGTCCACAGACTAGTGAATACTGTCCTCTGTATACAGGTCCACAGACTAGTGAGTACTGTCCACTATATACAGGTCCACAGACTAGGAGTACTGTCCTCTGTATACAGGTCCACAGACTAGGAGTACTGTCCTCTGTATACAGGTCCACAGACTAG